TTTTATTTCATTAATTCTTAGGATTAATTTCTAACAATGGGATTTTTAAAAGTCTTTCAGTGGTATATAATTATTTATTTATGAGATAATTACAACTATATGAGAGATTTAATCTCTAGGTGAATATTTTTAGAGCAAAAATACCAAAGGACTCCTAAAGAAAAAGGAATTAATCTCTGCATATTGTGAACATATCACATGCATTTGAATTGAGTGGTACAGTCAAATATCCTTTGAAATCCGACATCCTGTAGAAACAAGGTAAATATATTTTCTTAAGGATATTTATTTGGCGCTGGTCTTTCAAGTACTTACTTATATTAATAGTTCTATTGTCTTCAGGGCAACTAATTTTATATGCATATAAAGTGATTGCTTGTGCTATTGCACATCAGTTTGGAGCTGTAGGCCCATGATGTTGGCAGTTCATGTAGTGGTGAGTCTTCTGCTCGTGTACCAGGACTGCAGTCGTGCAGTTACACAAATCTCTCATTCTTCCCCCCTTGTGGCACAAGGGAGCACAAGTGAATTAGCTCTTTACATGCTTGGTGTTCTCAGGACTCATCCTGGCAACATTTTCATAAGGTACTTTCAGAAAACAGATAAAATCTCATGCTATACTTTGTGCTGAAAATTGCTAAGTGATGTAAGTATCAGTCTCCAGCTATACCATAAGAAAATGAGGCAAAGTGGAATGGCTTGAAAAACTTTTTTATGAACAAGTCAGATTTTCTACTGACTCTGGGACACTAGGACTCAACACTATGCACAAGTTTTTTGCACAGATCCCAGGAGGGAGATTCTCAAATGCAAAAGGATGTGGTGTGAGAAGGGATTTTCAAAGGCTTAGAAACCAGACAGGTGAGGAGAATTGAGCCTATCAGACCTTTTTTCCTGCCTTTGAAAATATCTAAGCACCCTCGAATAACGATTTTTTCTGTTAGCTGTCATTGCTGTCACTGATTTTTTCTTTTTCTTATGGTAGTCCAGTTTATAATGCAGGGCAGTATCTGAATACAAAGAAAAGACACTATGTTTACCCTGGAGACAAGGTTTGGAGTTTGCCAGGGCTTCACGTTCTCTATATCTTTCCTATCAATAGCAGGACAACTGATCTGACTCCTTAAATCACATATACACTTGGCCAGATGAGGTACCCCAGTATCTTGTCTGTGACCCAGGCAATTGCAGATGTCTGCAGGACAGCATATGTCGAAAGCCATATTGTGGTATTTTCCTGATATACTGCTTTACTTGCCAATGACTTTTGATTCAAGGGCTCTGAAAGAAGAAATCTGCTATATTAGTATTTTATAGCCCTTAATTGGGTTTTCTTCCATGCATCTGTTGAATAATTTTGAACCCATTAGATAGTGTTTCATGAGCATGACTGTAAAGTATCTCATATATTTTTGAATAAATAAGAGAAATATAATTAAATGATACTGAAGACAGTCTTGTGCTCCTGGCACAGTGTTGATTGATGTCACTTGGTATAAAAATTATTACTAATCCCTCATTTGGCATTTTGATTCTTCATCTCATTTTGCTGATTTGACTAACAGAGCAGCGTTTTACTGTAAGGCTCTTTGAGAACTTCAGCATTTATACAACATGGAAAGCCACATTTTCTACTTCAAGAGCCTATCTATAATTGTAGCAAACACACACTTCACCCCAAAGGTGAAGTGGAGCTGAAAGTAAAGTACAGATATTGCTGTGGTTTGTAGAGGAACCAAATATCTGGGGCCACGGTCTAGGGAGTATGCCAGAGACAAGTCCAAGATTTCAAATCAGACCAGGAGAGCCTGGACCATCCTGTTTGTGCCTGCACCAGCCTACATGTAACAGCAGTGTAATAATCAAATTTGTCTTCAGATGAGGCTTCAAAAGATGTATTCATCTCAACAGCCACTGCTTTGTTCAGTCATTCCCACTCCAGGGCACTTATCCTGTGTGAAATATAGAATATCACAATTGTAGTTTACCATACAAAGACACATTATCTATGTGTCTGGTCAATAAAAAGTGTCGCTTTACAGTTAATATTTAAGCTCCTTATCAGTTTACCTCAATGTTTGTAGGCTTAAGAACACAACTTACCAAAGCCTGCAAACTCTAGTGCACTGAACCACCTTTGCAGGTGTGAGTAGACCTGTGGGGGGAATCGTGTATTGCTGAGTACCAATCTGAAGATGGCAGCATTGGGTGAGCTTTGCACTTTCTTGGCTAAGCAGGGCACTCTTAAATACTAAATTGTAGTTGTTGCATGTGGCAAATTTATAAATCAGCTTCTAATTTGAAAGGCTTTTCTTAATGCTGCAGTTTGATATCACAAGTTAGTAGTAGGCAGAGACATTGCCATTTCTGTGTTTTATTTTAGTTAGTTATACTGAGACTACAAGTCTTATAAATAGTAAAGATTGGCTCTCACCAGCAAGCCCTAGCTCATAAATATGACTCCCTTTTATTACAGTAACAATTATAATATTTTTTGAACCAATGCAAGAGAAGCTCCCTCTTTAAGTACTGTCTATCCATCAGGGAGGAAGTGGAATCAGGTCCTACCTATCTCGTGGGTACTGCTCACCCGGGACAGCAGGGATTGCTCTCTCCAGTGCCTGTGTTGGCTCCTCTGCCTTCTGTGCTTTCCAGCTCCCAGAGTGCACATCCTCAGAGGAGTGGAGAACGTTTCTGCTCCTTCCCTCTGCTGGCCCTATAGATTGCTAAATGGGCATTTGACTTTCTCCTGGGAGCAGCATGACATTGGTTTGGTCGTCTTCAGCCTAAGAAAGGTCAACAGTGGAGGTGCCCCACATGTGGGCACTAAGTGCAGCTCTTACAGATCTAAAACATACAAACACCAGACTCCTGTTTAGCTGCTGTTGGCTTTAAAAATGAAAATGAGCATGATCACTGTGTTTTATCAGGAGTCTAATCCTGCTGTATGTCTGTCAGAATGTTAATGTTAGTAGCATAAGAACTACTACCTGATAGATTCCTCTATGGAACCCTGAGGGAGAGGGGACAAATTCAAAGATACTAGTAGGAATTAAGTGTAAAGCTGAGTAGTTAGTTTCTAGCTGTGTCAGCATGTATACAAGCAGGACTGTGGCCTACTGATAGCTGTTTTGGCAAAATATTCAGGCAGGGAAGCAAAATTTGTAGTCTTTGTGATAGGTCTCTCAGCTTCTCTCATTACTTCTGTGATGCCTTTGTCATTTTGTCTTATTGGCTGTTTGTCCCTGAGACAATATTTTTAGAAACCAGTTGTCTTGCCTACCTTCTAAGTGGTGATATCAGCTGAAGTACTGAAAAATTTTATGCCAGCTTGATTTCCCTGAGACAACACCAAAGCCAGAGGTGGAAATTTGATTTTTTTTTTGGTTTGTTTCTTTGTTTTGTTTTATTTGATGATGTTGTGCTTTCACCTTCCTTTATGGATATCTCTGCATTTGACTACTGTGATGGAATCAGACTTGAGATGTTTGAAGTCTCTGCCACTGGTTCCTTCTTCTCAGCTGACTGAGCAGGTTTGGATCAGACATGGGGCTCATCAGTTTTTATTCTTCTTTTTATTATACCCTTCTGCATAGTGCTATGCTGTATGAATCACTAGCTGTACAGAAACTTTTATGAGGCTAAGCAATTAATAATTTTTGAATTTCTAAAGATTGGTTGAACTTAAAAGAGCTGTTAATTTGTAGTCTTCTATATTTAATATGAAACCCAGTTGGGATTAAGGAGGAAGTTAATGGAAAAAAACCAACATTGTATTAGGATGTATTCTGAAGTTACTTAAAAAGATTAAAATTTACTACAAAATATTGGGTAATTTCTTATCCTAAATTTATATCTCCTGCAAAAACATATACATCTTCTAGGTACAGTGGAGTTATGCCTCTTTGTGCAAAGCCTGAAATTGTCAGATGATGTAATAAACACAAATATATATAGGGATATGTGTATATTTACGTGCAATATTTTTGTATAACTTACGATCTCTACTTCCTAAAACCTTCATATGTTTACAATATGGAATAGTTACCATCTTAATCTCAAATGTTTGATCTAATATCAAAAAGCATGTGATGTGTGGTAAAAAACAAAGTAAAATCCAGTACCCTAAGAGCAGAAGTGACTGTGATCTTTAGCATTTAGTGAACAGTAGGCTGTCAGTACTTCTTATGGTCTTCCTAACATTTAACTTTGTTAGGTGGGTACAGCAAAATTAGATACGATACTGTAATGTTGATTTAACAGATCTCTTTTTGCAGCTTGTCATCACTTTTACAGGTCAGATACATTACCTGATGGAATGTAGACCTCAAAAACTATGTTATTGTTCAAATGAATTCATTGATCAAGTGAATTCATTTGACTGAATATAATTTTCTTTCTGGAATTTAAGAAGCCAAATGCCATATTCATTCTTTAGTTATGACAGAACAAAATCTAGTGAAGACTAAGGCCTCAACTCAGGAATGCTCTTAAGCGCATACATATAAGTAAATTAATTTTAATTCAACTCAAGTATGTTTCAGACTTTAAAGTGATATCAGCTTTAGCTTAAAACTAAGTGCTCTGAACTACATCTTAGACATCTTCAAATGCTCCTAGACAGTCAGACCAACTGCCTTGCAGGATTCTGTTTTGGGGCATCTCATTTATTTCTGAAGGTTTCAAAAACCTCTGTAGGTTACTATCAGTACCTTTGATACCTAAAAATGATCTTGCTTGTCTGTTCCTAGCTGGCCATTCCTGTGAACTGCTTGTGTACCCAGACAAAGAACAAAATCCCAAATTTTTGTGCCAAGCTTCCTTACTGCTGAACATGACATTTAAATTACTTAGCAGCAACAATACACGATATCTGAGATTATGTTCAAAGTAGGTAATTCTAAGAAGTGGGACAGACAAGTGAATATGGTATGATTGTTATTGCTGAAGTGCCTGTTTGCAGCTATACTATTTGTACTGAATATCTGTATATTTTACAGTGCTATTTCTTTACCATTGAATTTGGCCTTTGCAAGCAAGAAGGACAACTGCGTGCTTATGGGGCAGGACTTCTGTCTTCTATTGGAGAGTTAAAGGTATGTATCCTTAAAGCATAGTAAAATTTTAATCTTAACAAAAAAAAGGTGTATATAAATATATTGACTTTCAAATAACAGTTATAATTCTCAAGATAAAAAGCTTGTATTTAAAATACAGTATTGACCTAAAAGCTTTGTTTGAAATATCAGCTGGCACTTGAAGCATGAAATGGACTTGTAAGGCCCAAAGTACCAAAGCAACTATAAACTAAAAAACTGATTTCTGTTTGAATTTTTATTTCTTGTCAAAGGGGGCTCAAGGGTTCTAGCAGGTAAGAGTGCCTTGGGCTCTAAAAGCTTTGTTTGGATGAGGAGCACGTATTTTTAATACCCACAAAAAAGTGCTAGAAATCAGACATGATTCTGTTCTAAGTAATCCAGTTACTTGAGTGGATTCATTATTGATATGAAAAGAACAGCATTCATTAAGGTCCTGATATGATTAATCATATTTAAAATTAAGGAATGCATATGAACTCACATTGAACTTGCCTATGTCACAACACATAGAGCCCTATTCTTTTAAGAGTGAAAGTGTTTAACTTTGCATGGTGTGAGTAGTTGAAGTGGATAATTTATTGCCTCTTTTAATGCCTAGAAAACATGGGGAATGGGCAAAAGGTATTTTGTCACAGCTGTAGTATTTTGGGACATACTACATCTCTCAGCAAGGGGGAAGGGAAGGGTAGAGAGAGGGAGGAGTATCATCTTCAGAGACCCAAATGAACTCTCAGTGGCTTTGCAGGTAAACATTTGGACTTAGAAGGCACATATGGAAGAGTATTGAAAACTATTTTGCAGCATTGTTTATTTGAGTTTTCACATCTTCCCACCCTCCAGGGCTGGCTTTCAGTGAGCTACTTGGCAGTTTAATAGAAGTATCTCAGTCTCTTTCTGCTATTTGTTTTACCTGTAACTGTGAATATTTGGGGTGCACCTCATTAGTGAAACTGCTATACTTCCAGTAGTAAACAATGTTGAAGAAATTTACCTTCTCTAGTGCTTTTTTTTTGATTGCATTAGAGCTGCTCTCAGTTCTGTGCATACTTCAGCCACGGAAATATTCCATATCTGCCTGGCAATATTTTCTACTCACAGTGCAAAGTTGTTTGAATGAAAAGAGATGAAGATGCCCCTCGCGTTTTGCTTTGGCTCAGCAACATTCAGTGCTACGCCCCAAACTCTGCAGGATACTCTAAAGAATCAGACCTTTTATTTAAACTAACAGTTAAGGTTGCCAGGTGATGACCCTGAAAAGACCTACCATATAATTTACAAAATCTAAGGGCATAAAAAAGAAGAAATGAATAGTCTAGAACATAATAAATCTTCTACCATCAATGTCATAAACAAATGCATTATTCTTGTCAAGTGTGCATATTTGGTACCACACATTTGTGACCCTAGATCTGGGTTCTTTGCTCAGCAGTAAACTCAGAGTATAAATGCAAAAAATAATCATTTTGAAAAGCAATGCTAAAAGCTAAATAATCTGCACATTAACGGACTATATTGATCTGCACCGTGTTATGGCCAGATATATATCATAATAATTTTGCTCTAAGTCAATAATATTATATAATTTTCCGTTACACTACATATATATTTTGTAGATATGAAGCCAGAAGGGACTACTAGATCATCTGATTTGACCTCTTGTGTATCATAAGGTACTAAATTTCACCAGATCTTGCATATACTGATCTTAAGTTAGAAATTTCAGTTACTGATAAACTAAGCACTTTTGTGCTGTGGGAACAGAACAGCAGCATACCAAAGGTAGACATAGTCTCCATGAAGGGACTCATAAGGTGAAAAATATTGAAAACTCTGTGGAAATATGCTCCAGGGTAGAAAGCAAGGTAAAAGTTAAGGAAAAAAAAATAAAAAACAACTAAGATTTCTGATAAAATGACCATGGGAGAAGCCATTTCTGGACTGCAATCCTGGCATGAATGTGCTTCTTGCCAGCAAAATATTATCAGGGAGGTGTTTGGGAAGGAGATGTCTGGGCACCCATGACTTTGGTGCACAGCCTTGCATCAAGCCATTGTCACTTTCTCCTGTTTTTTGAGAAAACAATCTCCCTCCCAGCTTCTACTGGGAGGGCAATTTTCTTCCTTGACCTGAAGAAAGGTCATGCTAATAGACTGTTGTTGAGATCCTGATTGTAACTGAAATCCTTATTGATGGCAGCAATTGCTCTGAAAATGATGAGAACAATGCTGGCTATTTCAGCATTGGTGAGTGGGGAGGAGGAGGAGACTCAGTGTGCATGGCCATGACATGTCCCTGTCATGTGTGCAACACTCATACTTCACACAGGTGTCAGAGTGAAGACATCCTTTCAAAAATAACTTCTGCCATACTTTAGATGGGGATGGCTGTGGCCCATAGAAGCTCAAATACTTATGTATCCCTCCCACTAGGAAGGCAGATCTTGAAATGTTGAGTTTTGCTAACTTGAGTTTAGAGTAATAGACCAGTTTAGGTTGGAAAAGTTCTCCATGATGATCAAGTCCATTTGTTAACCCAGCACTGCCACATATGCCACTAGGTTATGCCCTCAAGTGCCATATCCACACATCATTTAGATACTTCCGGGGATGGTAACTCAACCACTTTCCTGGGCAGCCTACTCCAATGTTTGGCAACCATTTTGGTGAAGAAATATTTCTTAATGTCCCATCTAAACCTCCCCTGGCACAACTTGAAGACATTTCCACTTCTCCTGTCACTTTTCACTTGGGACAAGAGACCAACCCCTACCTGGTTACAATCTCCTTGTAGGTAACTACAGAGAGTGAAAAGGTCTCCCCTGAGATACCTTTTCTCCAGGCTAAACAAACCCTGTTCCCTTAGCTGCTCCTTATCATTGTGCTCCAGACCCTCCCCAGCTCCACTACCCTTCTTTGGACACCCTCCAGAGCCTCAATATTTTTCTTTGAGTGAGAGGCCCAAAACTGGACAAGGACTTGAGGTATGGCCTCACCAGCACTGAGGGTCACTGCCCTGCTCCTGCTGGCCACACTATTGCAGATACAGACCAGGATGCCATTGACCTTCTTGGTCACTTGGGCACACTGCTGGCTCATGTTCAGCTGTTGACTAGCACCCTCATGTCCTTTTCTGATGGGCCACTTTCCAGCCACTCCTTGCTACTTGGGCTTGATGGCACCCAAGTGCAGAACCTGGCACTTGGGCTTGTTGAACCTCAACCACTGGTCTGTGTCCATTGACCCATCCTGTTCAGATCCTCTGCAGAGCCTTCTTGTTCTCCATCAGAACAATGCTCCTGCCCAAATTGGTGTTCTCAGAAAATTTACTGAGGGTGCCCTTGAGACTGCACAGGCATATTTTATTAATGTGCTTTTGCTAGCAAGAAGAAAAGCCTTTCTCCAGCTTCTGTCCCTATCAGCTCTCTTTTCAATGCAGCAGTATGCACAGGAAATAAAATGGTGGCCAATTTTATGTATAATTTGCATAAATTTCTAGAAGTACATGAGTCTATTTGCAAGGCAGAAATGGCAAGCAATATTTGGGTTGTTTGGAGGACTGAATGGCTTGTTCAGTCATCCCTGTTTCTGTATTACACTGCTCCACTTCACAAATCTAGTCAACAGTTCTAGTAACAAATAAAAAAAAAAATAGCTAGAGAAATGTGTGCACCAGCCATCACTATAGGATTCCCATGAAATCTTTTTCCCCACTCAGTATTTAGACCTAAAATTTCAGATAATGAAAAATGCATCTCCTTATGTGCATGCTATGAAAACATCAAGTAAAAAAAAATAAATTAAAAGCACAACAAAATAATGAGAGAAGATTAAAAATGAAGCCTGGGGGGAATAGAATAATACAGTAAGTAGTTATAAAATGCTCTGCCTAATATAGTCAGGTTAACTCTAGCTAACACTATTACACAGTATGTATTTGGGGCTTAGAGATAAGGCTGAAATAATGTACATTTCAATTATTAAAACTGTTTCTAAAAAGCAGTTCAAATGTCTTTGGTAACTTTAATCCATTTAATTTGTATGATGCTCTCTTGAACTCTTTCATTAAAGGAGTCTCCTATCAACTTCAGTTGGCTGTAGATCAAGTAATACATCCCTGTTGTATGCTACTATACTGAACAGAGAGGTAGACTTAAAATCTCTCTCTATAAATTTTTGAAGTCAAGTACAGTATCCAATTGTATTTTTTAATGATAATTTAAGAAGGGCCAGCATTAGACTTTATAAAAAAATATTAAAATGCAAATTTTGGCTCTGTTTTCTGAAGAGGATGAAGAAATCAACTCCTGGATCCCAGGTGTTAATTTTAAGAATCTTTAAATAGTGAGATTTTCCATATTTTTCTAGAATTTCTGTAAAATTACACAATTGAACAAAATGTTCTGGTAATACAGGACACTGTCAGATTCACAACACATATTGTAGATAAGCAGGAAAACATTTAAGAGCAGGTTTTTCAAGACTCTGTGTACTCCCCCTGGGAAAATAAGGTGATAAAATCAGTACTGGCACTCACACAGCTTCTCACCTGTGTTCCTATTCTGCCCTCATGTACTTCTCAGACAGTGCAGTATTTATAACTCATCTCAAGTTTTCCCCTTTCTAGCTGAAGATTTTACTTTTTGGGTTTTGTTTCATTTATTTTCTTTCTCAGACCTGAAAAGCTCTGAGTTGTATTATTGCAATCCATTTTTATACTCAAAGGAGGAATTACAAGACCAAACTCTTTTTTCATGTGTCAGTGATAGTGGTCACTTAGGAAATGATTCACAGTTGTGTAGTGTAAATGCTTGGTGCCATCTGACATGCCCTAGTATTTCTGACCAGCCGCCACCGCAGAAATGTGTAAAAGGCTTCTTTAGATCCTGTGCTGTATCTTCCATTCTCAGTACAATACATCAGGCAGCCTAGCCCTCAAACACCTATTGTTAGGCACCTCAATCACTCTTTGAATCTTTCATCTGGCAGGAAGTGGAGGCATTTCTTTATTGTTATGCTTATTTTCAGTACAAATGATTGTCTGCTTCTTAATCTGTCTGATAGTGCTACTTTTCCTGAGAATCAGTGATGATTAATTTCAAAATTTCACTCAAAATTTTTATTTCTTGAACTGAAGAAGACTCACCAATACTACTAGCATTAGCAATACAGTCTGTATGAATGGGCTGTTAGAGACCATTACCACAGATCCACATGATGGTGAGATGCCCTATTTTACCAAAAGCTATTTTCCATGAGTGCTAGCCCTAACATCTCATTGGAGGTGGATAACATAGAGGTTTCTGATGGAGAAATACATATTGGGTACTTATTTGAGTTCACTAAAGAACTGAATGTCCAACCAAACCATAAGTGAATAGCATGTATTTAAAAAACACAGGCTGGAAGCTGAAGGCTTTTGGACTCACCAGACAATTTTTTTTTTGTTTTTTTATGTACTTCAAAATGTTGAGATTGCCAAGGACCAGCATTTTACAGCCCTGTAAAGTTTCTGATAAATGCTCTGGTCAGCTTTGAGTCCGTGTCTTGACCATTCTATTTCACATGAGATTATGGTCTCTCTGAAGGTTTGTCTGTAGGCTCATTTCAATTGCTGATCTCTGGCATTACTGGTGTCAGAATATCACCTCAGTTGCAGATGTTCCATATGCCAGGCTGTGCAATTTGAAGACGCCATCCAGACTTGCAAAGATGGAAACATTGCTTTGGTAGCCAAGACAATTCCTACTTGATCTAAGAGCCAAAAGGACTTGGAGGGGAGACAGGGATCTTGGGTGGGAATTCACCAGAATTTACATCTTTTGTTTCCAAACTGTAATCCTAAGAATAACTGATCTGCTGTCACCTAATTTTGAAGGCATGTCTGAATACTTCACCCTTGGTTTACAGGGTGCACATGTGTTGCTGTCCTCATGTTCCACTCTCTGCAGAGTTGCTTTGTGAAACAGCAGCTCTGTTCGTGTATAACTAAACTGGGATCCAGAAAGAATCAGTCATTTCATATGGATTATCTAAGGAGAATAACTAGAAAGGCTTTCTCAGTAGTCATCCCTGAGAAAGCATCAACCTTTCCTTCTCTTTAAAGTTTCTCCTTTTATAAAATTAGGGTTCAGTGACTAGAACAGTTGTTCACAATGTTGGAGCCCACAGGCTGGATCCCTTCTTGATGCTGATAACTTCAGTCCCAAGGACTAGACCTGGCCCATCAGAGGCCATTAGTAAGTAGAGAAGTTGATAGCGTCCCCCTTTCTGTTGAACCTTTCACAGTACAGCAAAGAATCCATGAGCCAGAAGTAGTCAGTTCCTATGGAATCATGGCCAGTATCATCATCTTCATTCCCTGCAGGGAATCAACCTCACTCAGTCCACTCAGAGTTTTGAAACTTTGTGCTTTAGACACCTGAGCCACCAAGTCTCACCTGCAAGCACAAAGGCACCTTAAGAGGAGATTTTTATCTATAGATACCCTCCCAGGGAATCTATTATAATTCCAAGTAAGAAAAGGCAAATTCATTTTGAGAAAAGGAGGTAAATGCCTTAATTTATAAGCATTCAACAACATGGTTCTGCAAAGAGAAAGTGACAACAGGGATATAGACAGGGACCTAATAAGGTGAGTCTGTTCCTGCAGTCCTTTTAGAAGAGGATGATGGTTGAGAGAGCATTGTTTATATTTGTTTTCAAACCTGTTTGACTAATGGCTGGTTAGAAACAGCAAACCTTGTGAGAAGGAAAATATACATGTACTAAAGAAAGTTAATTCCCTGACATTTTAAGATTCCATGCATTAATTTTTCATGTATTTATTTTTGGAGAGAGAGGAGGTGGGAGGAAGAGGCTCTTGTTCCAGTTTTCTGTCCTGCTATTTGGAGACTTCAGGTTGAGAGATAGTGTGATATTTTCAGAGCCTTTCACAGGGATTTAGGAATGAGTATGAGCAAGAGCAAGGATAAAAGTTGTGAATACCTTAAGGTTAATACTTTACTCCACTATAAAGAATGTCCATGCAGATGGAAAGTAAAGAAATCAGAGGCACCTTCGGACCTCAGGGATCTGCTTCCTCCCTGTCATTTCTTTATGCTTTTCATTCATATCTTCACTTTATATAGGTATCAGGGGACTAAAGAGGGTTGAAAGGTGACCTAAATATGCTCTGCTTTCTTACCTTATACTTCTGTAACAGAGGACTGAGAATGAAAATATGTGTGTTCTGGAAGATAAGATAGATGCAAAAGCCAACCCAAGTATTCAAGTTGAAAGGGGAGTGAGAAAACACTTTCCTGGAAAATGTCTCAGTACCTGATTTTCAGTTCTGAACCTCTCTTTTCTAGTGACTTGTGAAAGTCATAGAAAGAGAAAGGCTGATCAGAAATCTCTGGTTTGGGTAGCATTTGCCTTATCTGCCCAATATCTCTTGTAATTATCTATATCTGTTTAGTTATTTTTTCTTTGCAGTACTATGTGAAGCATTATTGCTCAGTTTGTGTGGCAGAAGAGTAATGTATTTCACTGTCTTGCAATACATTGTCATTATTGAATGGGTTTTCAGATAAGTAGTTTCACTTTTACTGTCAGGAAAATACTATATGATTTTAACTTGAAAATGTAAAGTACAGATTACATGAATGGTTTAGTCAGACCCAATTTACCCGCCAAGATGAAGATGAATTCTGCTAGTTAAATGAGATTTTGGGGACAATATATGCTTGTAATTGTATAGATAATTTTTCAAAAATGGTTATTTGATGATTTTTCTTTTTCCATCTGAACATTTACGTCTGTGTATGTTCATGGCAGGTACATTTCTAACACCCTCTTTATTATTTTATTATTAAGGGGAAAAACCATCTCCCATAAGTAAGAGCCTTTTAAATAACAAATTCTGTTGACTGTTCAAACGGAAAAAATGCTATAAGTAAAATAAGATGAGCTACCAATTAGTGGGAAACATACAGGACAGCGATATAAATGCTGTACGTAGGAGCAGCTGATGTAGATACACAGCATAATCAAAATCCAGTTTAACAGATCCTGTGGTGTATTTTGCAGCATGCTCTATCTGACAAGGCCAATGTGAAAACATTTGATCCAAAGACAACCTGTTTGCAAGAATGCCTTATCACTACTTTCCAGGAAGTTTACTTTGTTTCAGAGAGTTTTGAAGAGGCCAAAGAAAAGATGAGGTAAATTATTTTCCCTGACTCAAAAGTCTAATTTTCTCTTCTTTAGTGGCTGGGGAAGAAAAAGGAAGTTAATTTTCTTTTTTTCCTTTCAGGGACTTCGCCAAATCAATCAATCGTCCCTTCTCTGTGTATTTCAATCCATATACGCAAAGCATTGAGATTCTGAAGGATACCAGGAGTATAGAAAATGTTGTCCAGGACCTCCGCAGTGATCTAAACACTGTATGTGATGCTTTAAGCAAAATGAACAGATATTTAGGGATTTGATATGTTTGGCACTGTGATTTGCTGTCAGTTGCTCTTTCTGTAGCCAGTTACATGAGATGGCTAAATTATCAGAGCCATCAGTTTTCCCTTTACAGCTTGGCCTGTGGCTTGCATTATTGTGTAGCTCTGTCTAACTGTAATGTGCAGACAAACCAAGGCAATGCTAATTTGTAAATGAAACATGGAATGTGGCAGAATGTGATCATCAATTATTCAGCACAATGTCATGTACAAGTATACCATTAAAAAACTTTCCTGGCAACAGTTTGGTTTCCACAAAATGATTCACTTCAATGTTTAAGAAATGGTGTTGCTGATTTCATTAGGCCTGAGTTTATTTCTTCATTATCCCTTCCCTTCTGCAAGAATCTGGAAAAAAATTGTTTGCCACATTTTAATTTTCTCTGTAAGAAAACATTGTTTCTTTGTCTAATGGTAAAGACACTCTGTTGTCCATATCTGTTACAGAACTTTGTCTCTTGTGACTGAACAATACAATTTGTGTACCAGTAGCTACCAGAGATTAGGAAGGATATGTATTGGTACTAAGAGGTCTGTGAAGATTATACATAATGAGAACCCACAACTGAGAAATGTTCAATGTGGCTGAGCAATTGCAAGACACTAAAAAAAGAAACCTCTGATAGTTCATGTAGAAAGGTAGTTGTAGTTCACATGTGTTACCTGTGACAGTCCCTAGAGTGCTTCCTCTGAGATTGCTATCTGGAAATAAGAGATTAAGCACTTGTTTTAACGTCACTGTTACATGTGAATCCAAAGTCCTTCTACATCCTTGTATGTCTTCTTCATTCCCTTGTGTCTTGAACTTAACTCCTCTTGTGTTTCAGGCACAGTTTGCCTTTCCTCATTATTCTACAGTCAACCTTGACTTGGCCATGCTTGACTGGGTCTACACTGTGCCAGTATCAGAACATATAAAAGGGTGAATAAGGAAGTTGTTATTTAATTATGGCTGAGATGATTTTCAGTTACTAGAGTATTTGTGGAGTGATTAAATCATAGGAACACCCAAGCTGCCTTGCTTGTATCAGATGGATGCAGGTAATGCCTGACTTAAACTCTAAGCTGGCAAGCTCTGACAGAAGTACAAGCTCTGTCTGGGGACGACAGTGCAGAAATATTTGAGCCGGCTCTTATCTGGAAGTAATAATTATGCATGTCTTTCCTTTATCTGGGTTATTCTATTCTCCTATTAGGCAAGATAATGGAGAGTTGACTATATTGTGTGGACCCTTCTTAATGGAAACCACATGGCTTATGCAGATCATGTCAATAAGGGTGAAAGTGTCACAGCTTGTCTACATATATGGAAAATAGGTAACTATTGAAGCTGCTCTCCCAGCTGAAAGAGTTGTGCAGAGACTCTTAAATATTGCTAGCAATTTCAGCATTAAAAAGGCACCACTTGATAGTACCAGCATATCCTTAAATAAGAGGCAAGCTGTAAGGATAATTTTCACAGGGATGTCTGCCACCTCCTCAAAGATAACTGTGAGATAACAGAAAAGGCTTTTTTCTGTGGATGGTCCCTGCTGCATTCTAATGCTGCTGTTAATAGGGTGTGGAAAAATCTACTTTTAGATTCAACTGTGACTGCCGTTGGTACAAACGAAGACCTGATGAGTTATCCCATGGGGATCAGCATGCTGGAGGAGTTTTTAACCTCCCAACATTAGTGCTGACTGTTAGCTAGCCCTTAACACAGAGGAATTGCTGGCAACCTTAGCAGGAAACTTTCTCCCTCTTTCTTTCCATGGAATAAGATGAACCTCTTGTAGCCCTTTCTGGAGAAAATGGACTGTACTGAGATTTGCTTTAACCAGTCTGAAAAAATCATTGTGCAAGAAATAGTAACTCTTACTTAGTTCAAGAACTGGCAAGGTATTGTTGCTTGCTTAAGTAAAATAAAGCCGCAATAAGCAACAAAGATTCAAAGCTTGCAAAGTTACCAAGGCTTTCCCTTGAATCAGAATTATGCAAGAAAACTTTAAATACTTATAATATCTGGATTTGTATTTGACTTTTCTGAATAGCTTAAAATAAGGATTCCATAGCAGTAAAACAATAGAAGCATATCTTTGTTTTGTTTTGTGCTGTTAACAAGTAAATCTCATTATGGATTAGGGAGAAACCCTTGAAATCCAATAGTCATTCTAGGACTAATGATGGCAAGGAAACTGTCTACAGTGAAGATATAATGTCAATGACACAGAACATTGTCAAAAGATAATGGGCTCCCACTGCTAGATATATGCTTAATCCAATGATTTTATTTCTATTATACAACATGATTAAAAATAAATTAACTATAATGGGCCAAGGAATAATAGTGATTTAGAGAGACAATCACTCATTGTTCTTACATAGCAAAGCTGCCATCTTACAGGCTGCAGAGCAAACTGGCTTTGGGCTTCAGCCAGTCAGGAGCCAGGACTGGGAAGGAATGCTTTAAAAAGTGCACTGTTGCACTTTTATGAATCACATAGTTTCAGCTTAGCTGAATTCTTCTCTGTGGTTTTTATTAGCAAATTAAGATCAGCCATGCAGCAATCTCCTTGGATGACAAGCTCATTTAGGCACAATGAGGGAATTATTGACAGTTATCAAATTACACTAACGTTTTATTTGGAAAAGGCCATATTTATATATGGTACTTGTTTAGCTTTAGTGAGCTGGACTCTGGAAATTGGACTTCTGGCTTAGTCTCATTTATTTCCTGTGTAATTCTGAACTGATGCTTTATGGGTCTGAGATATATGCACTTGCTTTGCCTGCACAGAGTAAATGGGCCCGAGCTTAATGAATGTAAACCGTTGCAGTGTTTACTACCATGCAAAGCCTAAAATGAAAAACAACACTCTGAGACATGACAGCAAATACAAATACCAAGTTTCATTTGCAAACCAAGACATGGTTCATGCGTTTCATTTAATTTGCTCAGTAAAGGGGGTGGAATGCGGAAGGTGTTAACATAAAATATTGTGTTTTCCCTCTCCACTCTTCAAGATCTGTTGGGAATCTTGTTTTAAATTTGGCCCTAAAATGCACTTTCGTGAAATAAGGTGTCTTTTCCTTTCCTCTTGTTAGGATATCCTAATGCGATGGAAAAAATTCCAGAAATTTATTGTACTGTAGTACGTATTCAGTGATGTACTATAATGGATTGCAGAAAAAAGTTTCCTGTCTTTGAAAGGACAGCCTGGCTCAGAGGGCTAAAGATGCTGAAGGCTTTCACCTACAGGCTGCTGGTACAAATCCAGTCCAGTCAGCAGTTACTGAAAGCTATCACCAGCCAGCAGCAGCTTGGCTTCTGTGTGATCAACTGGGAGGCTGTGATTGCATAGTTTGGAGTAGAGGAGACTGAGGGGAGATGCAATAACCTTTTTCAAACACATAGAAATAGCTGCAAAATGGAAGGGACAAACTGTTCTCCAACTTCAAGAACGAATGGACTTAAATTGCAGGAAAGGAACATTCAGTTATATAACAGTGAAATGTGGGGGACATTGTCTGGGGAGGCTGCAGAGCCTCCATAATTTTTCAAGAGAACCGTTTAGGCTGCTGTCTCTCAGGAGAGAGACAGGCACACTCAGTCCCATCTTGAGACCAGAGGAGAGGCCATACAATATCTTGAAGTTCCAGCCTGGAAAAGGCTTCAGACAGCTCAGAAGAGCAGTAATGATCAACAGCCACCACTGTGGAGTATTTATATGTCAACCACACTTTTGCCTCCTCCTTCAGTCTTTCACCAACCCTAAAGAGTGCCTCTTCATCTCTCTGTCTTTCCTTAGGGAATGAATAGGATCCATGGTCTGAGTGTAGCCCTATATATGATCACTGTGGTGCTCTATTTCAAGTTCATCAGCCATTTGGGAGAGCTCTGTGTGTGACTCACCTGCTAGTTACAGCTGCCAGAGGCAGAAGACCAAGAGTGAGCAACCAACATTTGTAGTTTTTACAAACAAGGTTTAAAGCTGCTCATCTTCATAAGCAAAATAGAATATTGTATTTCATTCTGTCTGTGCCTGAATTTGTCAGGAACACTGTGTTCCCTTGAACATTCTAGCAAACTTGGAGCTCTTCCAAGCTGCTGAACTTGAGTGCTCCAGCCAGACATCAGCCTTGTGTCTTGGTGGAAGCTGGACACAGAGCAGGATGCTCTCCCTAAGTACCCTGATTGCCAAGGAAAAGAAACCCACTGCTCTAGTCCAGAAGCGAACTGTGGTCTAGGCCCCTGCTGTAGTTTCCCAGGGAACTTGGGGATTGCACCTGCTGTCCAGCCTAGTGTCTCATTAAGAGCTAGGTAAGGATCAGTGCAATGCTCTTCTACTCAGGAAACGAGCTCTCTCAGCCTGGAAACTTTTCATCTTGTTTTATCAGAACAGTCTGTGTCTTTTTAGAATTATGACAGCTTCCCTTGTATCTGAGTAGGACCCATGATCATGTTTCCAGATCATTTGTGAGGGGAGTAATTCTGCAATATTTATATAATGGCTATGCTCCATGGTATCAGTCACTCCAGCTCTGGAGATGTTTCATGGACAAATTCTTGCCTTCTCAGTGAAGAGTTGGACAACAATGACAGATTCCTCTTGTGGGCTTCAAAGTGTGTTTGAGACAGGATTCTAAGAGAAAAGTCTTGGTTGTACTAGGAATTAGTAGCTATTAAAAATATACATCTCAGGAAATAAGTTACTAGAAATGAGTACCTCCAGTTGTCATACCAAAGGCTGTAGAGATGTCCATGGCATTCTTACTGGTAATTTCCTGTAATTTAAATGATCTTGAAGGCTAAACAATGAAATCCTCAATTGAAATGCTCTATGAAATCTCTGTTGATATATTTTGTATGTGGTTCTCTAGAAAAGGTACGTAGACAAAAAAAAAATCAGAATTTAGTAATATCTATTCAAAACAACTATATTTAGTTTAAAAAGACCCTCCGACACCTTAGAGTAAGAATTCATATTTCCTTGCCAACTGCTGAGATGTTAAGGTAAGACTGAAAATAAGTGCTGGCATCTACTTGGAATTTGGGCCACATGGGACTATTCAGGTGGAATAAGTGTGAAATGGGTTATACAGTCCCATATTTTGAGATGCAAGTGGGTGATGGATATTCTGGTGGACATTTTTTTAATGTAGTCAGAAATCTCAAATGTCCAGAAAAAATAATGGAGAGGAAGCTGCCATTGCCACACTCCATCTTTGGAGGTAAGGAGTTGAGTTTGTGAAGCAGCAAGAGGGAGATTTCAGTCCACGTTAACCTGGCCCATGACCTGAAACACAACCCAAATGTACCTAATCACTGGCTCTGTGTGAGCTCCTGTGTGAATACAATCCTGATAACAGAACAGCAATAAAGCACCCTACAGCCAAACAGCCCTGTTTTCCCACAGGAGAAAATGTGGGTGATTTGAGACCAGCATGACACAAATAAAATCACTTTTATTTCTTATAAAATGTTTTAGAATATGGTACTATTTTATTTTTGATAAGAATTATAAAGAGATATGTTAATTATGAAATGGTTGATGCTCTTTTCTGCCTTGAACTTTTCTAGCTGTCACCAAACTCCCTACTCAGTCTTGCCACTTTACATGAAAGTAGAGTAATGCTGAAGATGTGATGCTGCATTTCCCAGGGCTTTACAATTGATGGCTACGCCTAGTGCTACCCTCCTTCAGCACCCTCCTTGCAGTGAATTGCAAACCTCAGAGATGTGAATAAGGTCAGTTAATGGTAAATGAGTTTAAGGTTATACACACAGTGGATTTGCCACTCCAGCAGAATTTCTCAGGAGGAACTATTTGGTTGAGTTCCCTTTTAATGATTACCCCTCTAGATCATTTGAAGGTGGAGTTTTGAAAAAGCAAGCGTCTCTCATCAGATAGGAACCAAAATCTCAACTGCTGCAAAGCCAGCACATGTTCCAAGAGATGTTTTAGTGCCAGCATCAGTCAGTTCAATTGGAATTTGCTCAAAATAGATTTTCTAGTTGCTGAACTGAAAAGCTACATTTTACCTGCAGATCTCAATCCAGCCACTGTTTTCTGAGACAGATCCATGTCTGCTGGAACAGGAGCTAGAGCTGTTAAGTCAAACATGCAAAGCCTGTTCCTTACTTAATTTGCAGACATTTTAAAAAGAAAATGCTGTCTTCAGAATAAAAATGCAGTGCACAGAAGGTGAAGAGGCAACACGGTCTGCTGTTTTCTGAGATGTCATTCACTGCTCCTTCCCAGTGCTGGTCATCACAGTTCATGTACCCAAGGGAAGACTTGGCCTGAGCTAATTGACAGGGGCAGGAGTTACGAAGCTGTCTTAATCCCAGAGAAGAGTTCCTGCTCTGAGCTGCTCCTGAGGCCTCAGAAGGCCACTGCTTGTCTTCTGTGACTTGTTTGTACAGAGTAACTCCTCAGGCTTTGTCTGTGGGTGTCTCTGTAGCGGGATCACTTAACACATACTGTCATATGTACAGGGAAGGTAGTAGAGAGAGGTTGGGAAGTTCCAAGAATTTTATTCCACAGCTCTTCTTTTCAAATAATCTCATACCTGGCTAATGCTTTTTAAAAAAACAATCAAAATAGAGGCCCACCAGCACCATCCATCTATGCCCCCTTCCCACTGTGGTCCTTGGGCAGGTGTTCTGAAGGGCATCATTCTTGACTGTCCCTTCTCTTCTGTGAGGCCAGTAGTGGATCTGAAGGGCTGTGTGAGCTGTCCCTGCTGTGCCCACCCAGGGTGTTTCCCTGGTGGGACACCGCTGTGCAGAGCTGGGCGGCCTTGTGCGGCTCCATGGGGGAGTTACAGTGGGCACAGTGTGGTAGTGCACAGCTCTGAGGTGCTAAGCCCAGCCTCACTGTTGGAGTGAAGCTTTCCAGGGTACTCAGGGTGCTCAGTGGGGCGAACACAATATCCCTTGCCCCATTTCAAAGGCAGAACTGCTTTAAATAAGCAGTTGCTTAGGAAGCCTAACACTTGGGACTGTTAAAAAAAAGCCAGTGGCATCCTCAGACTTATAAGGAAAGGTCATGGGTAACTGTGTGGTACCTATAGGCAAGTATTGATTTTCTCATCAGAATGCCATCACAAAATCTGGCACACAGATGATGTGGGGTTCATGTAGATTCAGTTTTGTTACACCATCTCTCAAAAAGCTCAGGAGAAACAAAAGGCGGTCTGTTTGCAGCTGGACAGGCATAGGAACCTCTATTTAATTCTCTGTTTTCTTGCCATTACCTTATTTCCAGTGGGGAGGAAGAGCACTGTACTCATGAATGCTATGTAAAAGCTGGAGCATTTTCACTGAGTGATAGCTTGGTCTGTCAAAGTTAGGAATGAAAACATGGTTAGAGGCAGCAAATTAAACCTCAGATGTAATGCCTCTGATTTGCAGAAGGGAAAGGGGAAGTGCTAAGTGAATATAGGAAATTGCAGCATTATGCGTTGTGAGAGCAATTCTTTCCATCCTTGTAGCTAATGGACTGAACAGAAAGTGAACAATTTATTTCATACAATGATTCACCAACACTTTGACAGGGTTTCCAATTCTGAGCTCAGTTTCATGTTCAGCTCCCTGTTTACTAGTGAAATAGTACAATTATCTGTCTACCTCTTACACTTTGTAAGCAGGCAAGGCTGCAGGATCTGAAAAGAATAAAAATAACTGTATAAATCCTGAATGCTTAAGGCTGGAGGGAAGGGAAATGAAGCAAGTGTTATCTTTCCTGCGGTCTATTGGAACATTCCTCTAAAAATAAAGTTAAATTCCCAGGGAAAATAGGTCCAAAAGAAAAATGCCAATGGAACTTGGTTTTCAATTTCTATTTAATGTTTCCCCCATCTAGGTTTGTGAAAGGAAATCACAAAATATTTCTCGTTTGAGTCCACTTGTCAAATTGTCGATAGTAAAGTAGCCAGAACTGTTACAGCTGAATTGGTCACATAAAACTCTGGTGAAAAAGGGATGCTTCTCCCAGAGGCATTTAGTAAATGTGCTAAGCTGCTTTACAAGACAGGATGACATTTTTCTGCCTTTAACCCCAGTTTTATTGAGAATAGAAATCACTTGGACTATGAGGAGTTTCAGTTTTTAATCTCAAAATGTTTGTGAGCCAGCCCTGGCTGCACACCTCTTGCTCATGGGATCAATGTGTTTGAATGGACCAGCCTCCCAGAAGAGCATAATTAGTTACATGTTAAGTTTGATTATTTATGATCTATTAGTGTTTATCAAGGCTATTTGGAAGGATATTCTGGAGAAATATATTTTCAAAGTCCCAAAATACGAATTCAGTAGAGCTTTTTAGAATTCAGTCAGTGAAAAGGGGGTGGTGAAAAAATATAATGGCCATAAAAATGAGTATAAAAGCTATTAATAAGGATTACAAGATGAAAATTTGAGGATTTAGGAGTCTTATTTCAAATTGCATAGGTAAAATAGAAAAAAATTAGACGTCAGTAGCAGCAATTACCTGTTGTAGTCCCTTTGGCCAGATGGTGACGAGACTGTCACTTCATGGAAGAACCTGAGTCTGTGGCTTTTGCTTAGCATAAAATATGAGTAGAAAGTTGATGCTAAAAATGCTGTTAGTCTGAGAGCCACTTAAATTGATGGCAGCAGCAGCAGTTAACATGGGGGCTGAAGTCTGGGATCTGGCTGAAGATGTTGGGTGGGTAGCAGTGGGCAGCTGCCTTTATTAGGAATAGCATCTCCACCAGTGCTTTCAGAGCCCCTAAAGTGCAGGAATTTCATACTGCTGTTTTGCACAGTGTTCCTGGAGACTCAGGAGGGAACTTTGTATAACAGGGAGAAAGTATCTGCTTTTTGGGTATAACAGAAAAGGGACAGACAGTCCTGCATGACTTTGGTAGGGGAGAGAAATTTAAGATTATCAATAGCAGAAGAGTTCCCTAATCCTAGCCTATTAAGGAAAAGAAAATCCTCATTAAAAAAATCCTTATAAATCCTTAAAAATTCCTTGCAAATCCTAAACTGTGAGTACCAGTGTCTATGCACAAGAGGAGTGAGTATCCCCAGTTACATGGCTCCCTCAATGACACTGGGCAAGAGGGGAGAGAGGTGTTGGGTTAAATGTCTGCTGAGTCTCTGTGTGAGTTTTCTGCTGCTCTTTTTGGAAGCACTGTCTGGGTCTGGGTTTGCTGGGCAAGCCAGCAGTGCTGGCTTCATGGGTGAGATTTGCACTGCACAATTAATCTGCTCCCTGCAAAGCAGAGAAATGCAGCACTCTTCTTGAATTACAGGATTGAATATGGGGCAACAGGAACAAATTTGAATTAGGTGTTTACTACAGGGTGAAAAGGAACGTAACCTGTGAGTGTTTTTCTCTGTAAAGTTAGTCCTGGTTACAGCTCCTGCAAATGGAACATTAGTTTGTGCCTCCATTCAGTTGGTTGGCTCTCAGTCTGTATCTTTCTGACTTTATCAAGTTCCAGGCAAAGCTTGGCAGTTGTCTGAATTTAAGTGAAATCAGCCATTTGGTTAGCTCTGAAATAAATCACATATATGGAGGAGCAGGAGAAATCTGCCCAAAGAAATCTGTGGTAGTCCTTGGCAGTAACTCTTTGAGGCTAGAAGCATATATTATGGTGACTCTGAAACTGTCTGGGCAGAATTTGCACAAAACCATTGCTGTGACTTAGGAGCTACAGCAGATTTCTCTGGCTTCCCTTGAATTCCTGAGTGTTGGCTACTGGGCATGGTATAAAGGCCAGAAATCACAAACTGGGGAAAAAATGTTTCCCCTCTCTTGGTAAGCAACTGGTGCAAACAGAAAACTTCCCTTTTCAGCATCAGCAAGTTCAAGAGACTGAATGCTCCATTTCCCTGGCGCTCTCACCTCAGAAGCTGGTGTAGACAGCACTTGTTTCCTGTGATTCCCTGTAGCAACCTTATTTTCAGTTGCCTGGAGCATGGTGCAAGGTGACTTGTGTTTCCTTTTCAAAAGATGGTTTCATTTTGGTACTGCAGAAAGGGCCTTTCTTTCTCACAGATTTGTGAAAAAGTTGTTTGGTAAGATACCAGTACATCTACTTTCACACATTTGCCTAAGTGCTTCATTCTTGGACATTTCACAGTTCTGGGACATGTAAAATCCTCAACAAAAACTAATCTATTTTGGTCTTTTTAGAAGATTAAAGCAAACAAACAAGCTGATATTTTGCTGATCTCTTTTCCTTCAGTGTTTAAATTGCCATTTGCCCTAATTAATCTTGTGTGTGGTTCCTTGGCTGGCAATATATTTTTTCAGTGTGTGTATGTATGTACATGTAAAATAAAAGGAGGCCAGATTATTTTCTGAGTAGATTTTTCCATGTTCTCCTATGTCTCAATTGCTGTGCAGGGTTCTAAGAAGCTGCACGCGTGGTTCTCATGCAGAAAACAGAGCAAACATAATGTAACTAACCCATATTGACTACCAGATGCCTCAAAGTGTTCAGAACTTGTAGTAAAATACAGTTTTCTTTGGTCTGTCTCCACTCTGCCTTCTGATGCCTTTCCCTTTGATGTCCTGTGACCTCGCTGCAAATGCGATGCCTTCTGCTCAGTGCTCTTGGACAGATGGACGGTGGTGCCAACAAGGAATCTCAAGAGCCAGCCCACTAGACTGTGCTTGTCATTCCTCAGAAGGATGGTAACTGATCAGCTAAAGCTAATGGTTTCTGACAAGTAGTTAACTAGACTTAAAGAAATACTGTCTCTGTGAAACCAGAGTCTTCAGACAGATATTTAAAACTGCACTTCTCTGTCAGATGCAAGTGTTGGTAACCATTCTTTGCCAGCTGATCATGTCATAATTACAATTGCTGTCCTAGCCCAGAGAAAAGGCTCAGCTCATTGGTCCAAGTATTGATTAACTGGTGCAGTCAAGATTACTTTACTTCACAGAGGAGCGATAACCAATAATAGTGTTACAATTACAGCCTGGAAAGTACGGTGATGAGAGGCTAGATTGGAACTTCAATAGATAAGGAGAGAGGCATTGTTTATATAATCCTGAAGATCTTAGAGCTCTATGTTAAAGGAGGTAATTAACCTGAGGGAACCACTGATGACAGAGAGTGGCTCATGTCCTTGGGTTGTGTCCAGGGAGCTCTCCCCTCCCTGGACACATCCTCAGAGGAAAATATTTAGCTGACTGAACAGGGCTGATGCATGTGTGAAGGTGTAAGGAGGCTGTATTTTGTTATTGTGAAACCATCAAATACAACCATAACTGCACAAAGGGTGGGTGGCCTTTTAATTCCTGCTCCCTGTCTGGTTTGCTTGGGCAGGAGTGGGCAGGAGAGGCTACAGCTCGAGGTGGCACCAGGACATCTCTCTTCTTTCCTCCTTCTCATGTGGATGTGGGAAAACTTAAATTTATTTAAAACAAAATTTTGTGTGGAACAATAAAATTCTGCAGAAGAAAACAGCAAGTTAGAGCTCATTAAGTTTATAGGGCTGGTGCTAGTTTATTCCTAAGAGTGCACTGCAGCTTTGAGTTGAGAGTCTAACAACTCCTTCAGCTTAGCAAGGAAATCCTGTGAAATTCTCCCACTATGAAAAAGTTCAGAAGAATTTTCTTGGTGCTTTGTGTGTTAAAGCCCGAAGTCCAAAGGCCAGGTCACTTTGTCCTGCTCTGAGAGAGTTCAAATCTCTTGGATTAGCAGGGCTCCCAGAAAGCCAGAGATGGAACCTCATTCTCCTGAAGTTCTGGAGGCGGTGAAGCAGGATATACAGCAAGGATATGGCTTCATTGATGAAAAAAATATTATCTGAAGTCAGTAAATTCATATATCCTCAATCTGTTTGACCCCATTATTTAGACTTCAGCTAATTTCAAAAGTCTGTTCCAAAGCCAGTCTGTTCCAAAACAGTTTTTGGAACAAGCCAGTCCCTCTGCTGTTCATGGATCACATGGCAGGAATGTGACTGCTCCCACTGAATAGCAACTGCCTGTGGGCAGTGTGTGTGTGCTTATATTCCCTCCTACAGCCCACACTTCCACAGAGGGCCATATTGGTTTATGTAAATTCATGCTAATCTCAATCTCTCTACATGTGGGCATATTTCACCCATCTGATAAGGATCAAGGGACACACCCCTTGCTATATACTTTATATTCAAAAAACCTGGGGTTAATGTGATGCCAGGAGAACAGCTTTTAATTCCCCTTCTCAGGGTATTAAACTACCAACATTAACTTTCTGTGCTCAGCTCTTGGGGTCTGCGAGGAAATGGTGTGAGCAAATTTGATAGCAGGTATATTGGCATGTGAATGTAAATTAGGTAGAGAGCTGTAGGCAAAACGAATATCAGGCTAAGATGTGTGGTGATTTACAAAGGAAAAAATTGAACCAAATTAAGCTAGAGCTAATTTTTTTCTTCTCATTGTGTTGATAGTTTGAGTGTTTGGTCTGTGTCTGTATGTGGGCAGATTGTTTGGAAATAGTAGATGATGAGTTCTTTTGTTAATGAAAATGTGGAGGCCTCTTTTGTCCCACTCTTAAATGTAAAATCTTTGCCTGTGCAAGTCTTACCATTGATTAGATTTATTTCTCTCAACGCTCTCTTTTTCCTTCCTTACCAACTCTCCCTCAAATTCTGCAAAAAGATTTAGGCCTTCAGTTGCACCAATTTGGGTGCCTAATCCAGTGATGTTCTTTTTATTTACAGACTATGTGTTGACTAGAGAAATGTAGATAAACAATAATCTGCCCAACACACAGGTACTGTTTTGCATGCCTCCTCTTTACTGCTGCTGCTCTTTAGAACTTCATGACAAAAGCTTTGTTAGATTTTATGGGGTATTTGTAAAAGTCAAGACATTCCAGAGAATTTTACCTTTCTATTCAAGCTAAGGTAAAATATATCAAAGCCGGCAGCCCTTTTCAGCAAAATCATTGCAAGCAGGTCCTGCCCTTTCTTAAATTGGTATGGTGACAGCTTGAGCTCATCCTCTGAGTGCCACTGTGACAGTCTCATCACCTGGGGAGAGTAGTGTCTTACAGACAGGCAGATCCCAAGCCATTTTAGTAATTATAGGTGAAAACTAACAGCTTGCCAGTGCAGATTCTTGAGTGCCCAAGGCGTGTGCTTACAGTAGGAGCCTTCCCAGCACAACTGCTGCATTCGGTGCTTCTGCAGCAGCTTGTCCAGGGGGCCCCTGGGGAGAGCATCTTGTAAATAGAATAATCAGGAGATAATAATTGTAAGGGACAGTAGTTCTGCAAGCTCCTGACCAGCTGGAGTAGAAAGACCCCATGCTAGCTAATACAGTTACATGATTGTCAGGTGCTGGCTGAGCAGCTAACCAGGCCTTTCAGCTGTAAACCAAAGTAATGTTCCTGCTACTCAAAGACTGTGTATAATGTTTCTTGATTGCTTCTACCAATAAATTTTCATCTTCCATCAGCCTAATCTTGCTGGTCATTGCTTTCATGAGGCAGTGAAGTTCCAACCTCATTATGGAACAGGGAAACACATACTTAATATCAACAGCATTGACATCAGGCTGTCAATTTTCTGTTCATGTAGGTGTTAAAGTGGCAGCCCATTGGTAGGAGAACAGCTGTTTCTTCAACAGGACTTTTCCTGAACTTACTCATCAATGTCAAAACAGAGGATGCAAAAGTGTAGTTTAAGAGAAGTGTAGACACCTAAGTCAAAAAGCACGGAAAATGCCACCTCATTTCAAATTTACCCACTGAAGGTGTTTGAATTCCCTAAGGGTCCTAAGGCTTGACTCTGGTATTTTCCAATGCCTAAATCTCTGGAAAAACCCAGAAGTCTCATTATTAGGACTAGGAAATTGCTTAGGTTCAAATGGGGTTTCCAGTCAGGCTTGTCCCTTAGCAAGTCTCCTGAAAGTCATGAATGACTTGATTGGAACAGGAGTACCAACTTCACAAAATTAGGAATGTGTTCCTTTTTAAAACTCAGATACGGAAAAATCTCCCTCCTCCTCTGAACACAGTAGCAGTCTGGAAGCAGAATTGACCAAAGGCATAAGAGGTTTTCTGCCTAAAGGAGGAGAGCCCAGCTCTGCATATCTGGGCTGGGGATCCCAGCCACCAATCTCTGCCCTGCACTTGGGCTCTGTGGATTAAGAACTGGAGGGAGCAAGATGAATTCTGATGTAAGGACAGAGTTACTTGAGTTTTACTTCTGCTTGACCCTAACTATCACTGTTTAGAGTGAATATTCCTCCCAGAAGTACAGTGGGAATTTGAATTAACATGGACATTATCTTTCCTGATTAAAAAAATTAAAAATTTCTGGATGTTCTAACTGCAATGTGTCCATCAGCCATTTGACGAGTTAACAAGGCTGACATGACTGCATCAGAGCACCAAACCTAAGTTTCTGTTAAAACAAGTGAATTTCTAACCATTTTGTTTGCCAAGATAATCTTCCCATATTCTAACATAATGCTGTCTGAGTCTGCAGACAGCCTCATCAGAAAAGGGTGAACCTTTCCAGACCATTCATCTCAGTAGAGTATCAACCTCTCACTCAACTGGTTTCACTCAGTATCAGTGCCACTTGTATTGCTGGGTGTTTTATCTGATGGTTTAGAGGGGCATGCAGGGAGGGAAAGAAGAGCAATGCCATGGAAAGGAAGACCATCCATGCAGCCATCCTCCGCATGTGGTTGATGGATTAAGCCCCTCTGGTGACAGTAGAACAAATGGGGGCTGGAGCTCTGACCAGCTCATCCATCACAACCTCCCCTCAGAGCAGCCCCTTCACATATTCCACTGCTGTTAAAGGTAGAAATCTTTCCCCAACATCAGCTGAGATCATCCTTCCTGCAATCTGGGATGGTTTTCTCTTGCCCTTCTGCCTTGTCCCACTCTTTCTGCTGCTGTAATTTGAGCCATCATAGAAACTGGCATCAGTGAGTATTGTGAATACCCTGAGTGCTGTTAACCAGAGATGTTGGCAGTGACACCCAGCAGCTCCCTGGAGGCTCAAGTCTTCAGTCTTCCCTGAATCCAAAGAGCAGTCTGCATTTGGAAGTGTTTCCATCGCAGTGGCTCCTTTCCTGCCCAGGGTCTTCTACAGAAAGCTTCCCCTTCCCCACTCTCCTTTGAGTTTTCCCTCGCCTTTTTCCTAAAGGTTTTCAATACATAGCAGTCAGACAGTCTTCTCCACATCACTTGAATGGGACCCTTTGCTTTTAGTTTCCACTTTTTTCTAAGCTGTTCACTCAGTCTATACCCAGAATTATAAAAGTGGCTACACTAATCTAGTCTCTTCTCTAATGCTTCAGGTGGTGAATATTGTAACTTTGTGTGCTCCAGCTTTGATACTTTGTTCTGGATGCATGACAGAGAAAAATTCAAGGCTATGCTACAAACTGTTTTTCTTTCTTCTTTTAAGGCTAACAACCAAACCCCATGATTTTTTCCTCCTCTCCCTCTGTGCTGTAGCTTTTTCACACCTCTCCACTGAAGAACTCCTTCAGAAGCACTAAAAGGAGTTCCTACTTCTTTGGATAAGAGGTTGTTAAAAAGGCGCAGGACTGTGAGGGGGAGATGGGGCTATGGAGCTGAGCAAGGCTGAGTCAAAGCAGAGGAAGAGGCAGCATCAGCTGAAGTCAAGGAGAGGTAAGGGCCTGGAGGAATAGGGAAGGGAGGGCTGTTGGAGCTTGTCCTTCATTGACCCAATAAATAACCCACATGGCAATAACAATAAATAATTTTATGAGGAGTTAGATATGCTTTTAAGGGGAAAAATGGTAGGGGGAGTAACTGCAAATTGAGGAGGAAAGCAGCTGAGATGGGTTTCCCTGTTGCCGTCTGTCCTCTATTTGGCAGCAGCTCATTTGTGAAAAAAGCAGTGAAGAGTAGTTTATGATGCTAAGACATTTCAGTGACTTACACTCAGTGAAAATCCTTGATGTTTCTCCTTTAGCTAGGTTTTTCTGCTCAGAGCTGAAAGAATTTCCCTGTCTTAAATCCTATTTTGTTAAACCTGGCAATCAGTAAAATCACAAGCTCCTTAAGAAAATCCTCTAGGCTTGTAAAGGGATGTGTTCATTACCCTTGTAATTAGCAGGGAGACTTCGTCTTGACAGGGTACTCAGTCCCCTCTAGTTACCTTCCTCACAGCTCCTTAATCACTAGGTGCCATTCAGATTGTAGATTGCCACTGTTTAATATGTGTTGTAGGAAACTCTGATTATATTTCACTGTGAAATGCTGAAAGAGCTGGGCCATAAATATTTCTGTCAACCTCTGTCTTTTCCACCCCTCAGACTCCACCTCTGCAATACAGGTAACCCCTCAAAATGCAGTTTGGGTTTTGCTTTCGGTGGTGCTGATCCTTATGTGAAGGAAAGGTTACCTTGGGAACAAGGTTAAATGATAGGCTTATGGACCTACTCTCTTATTTTCCATTTATTTTATGATGGAAATGTAAGATGTTGTGAATGGTTCATCATAACATATGCCAGCAGAAGCATGCCAAAAATAGCAATCTGAAGCAGCACACGGTATGTAACGCTTGCATACTTCTCCAAGAGTTAGGGAGATCATTGGAACAACACATGTCAGATGCTATTACTGTCATATTGCTGGGGCCATCTGTTAGAGGCCAAGATCAAGACCTGCTGCTTCCCTGGGAACAGCAGCTCCACAAAGGACTGTGGCAAATTAAACTAAATCTGCTCAGGCCCAGGGAGTTCATCTAAGGGATTTTCTTGTTTTGTTTTGAGATTTCATCAGGGATAAACCCAACAGTATATTTTGGATATTACTCCAGGGGAACTCTAAGGAAAGGCTTTAAAATTCTTTTTTGTTTGTTTGCTATGGGTTTTTTTGAGGGGCTAAATTGCAGGTCCAAGATGAGGACCAAATTGTCAGGACAGGATGTGCACATTTGCACTCACAGCTGTGCTTCTTCGGAAAACATGTTCATAAGTAAAATTCATACAAATGTGCACATGAAATTCTTTGCAGCTACTGAACAATAATTTGACAGCAACCTGGAGTTCAATACGACAACTGATCTTTGCAGTTGACTACACAGACACAAATTTTTAAAGCAAAGAAAAGACTATTGAAATTCCATATGGAATTTGGATGCCAGCTCCTCCCAGTGGTCTTCAAAATCTCAGCTAGGATACCTGTAAATGTATTTATTAGAAGTAAGATGAAATTCTATGCAATTTGGATCCACCAGGAATTTTGCTACTGGAAGCAGTAGGCTGGATTTCACACATACACTTTATAGCTACTCACACATACATATATCTATTCATATACATATAGATAGATGTTTTCTATTAGCATAATGTATTAGCATAATGGCACAGTTTTAGTTCTGCTGCATTCATAGAAATTTATGTAATGGGCATATGTTTTACTGACTTGTTTCATAACAGTTCTAAACAATGTCCTTGCTGACACCAGAACACAATACAATTAAATGTATTGATGTGGAAGATTGGAAGTCTCTGTAATGAAGACAGACATGGTTCAAATGCCATGAAGTGGGAGCAGTTTGCAAATGTAGGAAAATGACATCATAGATCTGGAATATTGTTGTGGAGGTTTTATTTTTCTGCATGATGGTGAAAGACTTGGACCCAGCTCCTACCCATTCTGTGCTTTCCACTTAGTAGAGGAACTTGCACCACAAAAATCCGCCAATCTTTGCTTTAACTCTGCTATAGAAAGAGATTCTGTTTTGAAATCTCAGGCTGTGTTACAGCAAAAGAATTCTTTTCCTACTCAGGATATTCACAGTGAGTGCCTCATTCTCCTCCTGGAGGAGCCCAGCACAACAGGGTGCAGTATCAGGAGAGACCTTTCCAGAGTGGAGGAGGCTACAATCTGGTACTAAAATAAGGAGAGTGCACTGGGGACTCTGTAGGGCAGGAGGGAGATGCACAGGGAAGAGAGTGGGTTTCTGGGGATTCCTGGCTGGCAGCACCTTGTCATTCTGCTTGTTGGCTACTTCTGTGTTTTATTCAATGACTGTTTCATGTAAAATGTGTGGATGATCCTTGGAGTATGATCCAAGTCTCCTTTTCCAGGACAGCATTCTCTCTGGCAGGATAGAGATCTGAAGTTCATTAACTATACCTTCAGGACCTTTTGCTTGTGGAGGTCAGACTCTGGAGAGAGGACAATAACTTTATGCTCACAGCAATTTTATAATCTACTGCTGTTCCGTCCTCTGGGTCTCTTGCAGGAAACTGGTGTCAGAAAGATGCTGCTGCAGCTTTTGCCAGCGAGGAGTAATGATCCCAAATGCAGCACCCTCTGTACACATATCACTGTCTGGGGATGCTAGCATTGCAAACTGGTTATGCACTTCAAAAGTACCTAACAACCTTCTAATTATTTCCTTTGCAGGAGAAATTCCCCAAGTAGGTCTCTGTCAGTCCTCCCGACCATTCCTACGCATTGCATTGTTCAATCAGAAGTGTTAAAAATGTATTTTTGGAAGCTTTGTTTGATAGAAATTCATCGGGTCCAAATTAATTTGGATGAGTTGGAAAGCTCTTTACTCCTTGGAGGAGGCAAGCAGGGAGGAACTGAAAGATGGCATGGCAGTTTTGGAGCCAGGTAAAGGGCGTGTTTGCAAACTACAGGTACTGTAGTTTGATATTTGATATACTGTAGACTGATATTTGTGACCCCTGAGAAGTTCTAACCTAAAAGAGAAGCTTCCATAATATGAAATAACCTCCCCTTCCCTCCCTCTCTGAGTTTAATCTGAGTATTATTTGGGGTAGAAGCAATTTTCTGATTTTGAAACTTGTGCCAAATGACAAGCTCCCAGGACAGGGCATTTCAGCTCACTGAGACTGATGTTCTTGTCACTTTTACTGCCACCTCCAGCACAAATGGGCAGCAATGCCAATTTCCCTCTGCAGCTGCTGGCATCTGCCTCCAAAAGGGACTCTGAGGGAATCCACCAGCAGACTGACTCCAGCTGAGGGACCACACAGCTTCCAGCATCTCCATTCTGGGGCAGGTGTGCCAGTAGTCAGGATGACTGATCTCTGAGGACTGCCTTGGATTAAGCAATAGCTTGAAATGTGTGTCTGGCACATTTTGGGCTGCAGAGGGTGGTATTTTTGGACTAATGTGTGGTTTGACAATGTCTTCAAACAATTCTGAAGATTTCCCACAATCTAAGTGCTCACGTTACCTCCTTGCTGGCCCTTTGGAGTATTCTCCAATTTAATTTAATATCTTGCCTGTATGTGACCAGAAAACCTTCCAAAAATGGTTCCACTTTTAAATTCATTGAAAAAGAACAGTCAATTCTTAAATGGTCTGACCAGCACTGAGGCAATTTCTATATATTTCATAGTAAGTGGTAATAGAGAACTTTCATAAAGCAAACCCTTAACCATCCCAGACTGTGCTTTCCTGTGAATGAATTCCATCACAAAAACTGCCTGCATGTGGACTGCAGGAGCTCAAACACAGGATGTGTTAGCACAAAGGCCATGTCCAATCTCAGTCACAACACACAGAGAGGGTATTGCTAATCCCACTGCCAGACACTAAGTCATCCCTTGCAGCAAGTGGTTTCTTCAGTCCCAGCAGAGAAAGAGGCAGCTCCACTATAGGGGCTATCCAATTAAGTCTAATTTTCCAGGAAAAGATGTAAAAATATTTTCCTTCATGAGCCTGAGCTTGAGCTGTGTATCTCTAGTGACACAGTATTTTCATTCTGCTTGGCTTTTTGTAGTGCTTCATGATGTGACAGGTTTTTAGTATTTAGTGATTGTAAGATTAAAATGCACAGTGTAAAGGTGGCAGAAGTATGATGTGTTTTGTTTGCTGCTTTCTTGCTTGATTTTCCTTGGGCTAGAAGAGGCCAGAAGAATTCAGATGAATCAGAGCTAAAATGTGTTTTTCAATATTGAGGAAATAGAGACTTGTTTACTCTTGGAATATACTTTAATGAAGGCAACCCTTGGAGTAATAGTATATATGGGGGAGGCTGAGGCTGGAGCTATTTCTCCTAAGGGAATCGTGAATTAATATGTGTTCCTCTCTTTTCCTCTAATTTCTCTCTGCTGGTAGGAAAAATTGTATCTATAATGTAGCTTCAGTCCATGTCATTTAATATCCTAGACTGTTTCCCCCTTGGGATGTAGGGGAAGTGGGAAGAAGAAGTATATTTAGAAAAGGAGATGGTTTGTCAAGATTTTAAGAGCATTTTGGTCAAAACAAGACCCCTAAAATGCACTGGATTCAATAGAGATTATTTAAAAAATGTTTTCTAGCAATTCTGTGCTGCTTTTGACATGTCCTACAGTTTCTGGATTCAGGGATGGAAAAGTTACAGTTTGCCTTACCAAGCCATGGTCCTGTGAGAAATGAAGAGTGCTAAATAGCCTGTTCCTGCTGTTGGCTGTCAGTGAGACCTCAGGGAGAGAGCAAAAGAAGCTGGGCAGATCCCTAGAGAGCTTGCCAGTACGCAGCTCTGGTGGCCCAGCTCCTGGTGCTCAGCCTCTCTGCGGGGAGCCCTTCTCCTCCCTGGGGAGCTGTTCTGGGGGTGCATGTTGGCCTTTTGTGTCCTCTGTCACTCACCAACCCCTCTTTCCTCTGCCCACGTGGAACTCTTCTACCCAAGAGCT